GAAATCTGTCATCTATAGGGCGAAGGCAGCAGATATCTGGAAACGCCACTTGGAGTTCCCCTCCAAGCTGCACACCAGCCTGACTTGGAACTATATTACCATTCCTTCACTGTCACTGAGTCAAAATCCTGGAACTCCCTTCCTAACAGCTCTGTAATTATCCCTACACCCCCAAGGACTGCAGCAGTTCAACAAGGTGGATAATCACCACTTTCTCAATGGCAATTAGAGACGAGCAATAAATACAGGCCGAGCCAGTGGTGTCCATACCCCAGGAATTCATTTTTAAAAATGGAGGCTGAGATGGGAGCAATTACAATGGGAAATGCGGATATTTTGTCTTGGCTCAGAATTTGTGCCCAATTCCATGATTAAATCCCTCCAATCATGTCTACTTCAACCTCAGTACTGAAGCATCTTCTGTCAAAGTCGGAAATAGCATTCTAAGTGGCTGTGACTATTCCGTGACCTTTGTAATCTGTGTGAAACATCTGACAAAGTTGACCACACCATTCTGCTGCAGCATGTTTTATGCTGCCCTCTGACTGTAGGACTGCATTAATTTAATTCCTTTATGAAAGTTAATGCTTTCTATAATGGCCATAACAATCATCTGCAGTTTCCTGTATGAATATTGAGAGAAAATATCATTATCTTCCATCCCTGCTTCACACACTATTTAGCCATCTAGTGTCCCTCTCCTGTCACATGTCTGGTGCTGAATGAGATTGTGTCATATTTTAACTTCAAACGCTCCCAAGATGAGCTTCTGACTGTACATCACTGAGACTGAAGGGAGGCAATGATGTGGTGGCATTGTTGCTGGATTAATCATCTAGATACTCAGATCTGGGGGCCAAGGTGCAAAACTCACCACGATGGATCATGGGGTTTAAATTCAATAAATATCTGCAATTAAAAGTCTAATGATGACCATAAAACCCATCTGGTTCTCTAGTGTCCTTTTGGGGGGGGAAAAAAAAACTGCTGCCCTTACCTAGTCTTGTCTACATGTGACTTCAGGCCTACAGCAATGTATCTGACTCTCAACTGCCCTTTGAAATAGCCTAGGAAGTTATTCATTTATATGAAGCTATCAAAAAAGAATGAAACTGGACAGACTGCTTGGTACTAGAAACAATACTGTCAACCCTGCAAATAGCTTTTTATTAACATCTGTGGTCCTTTGCCAAGTTGAGAGAGCTGTCCCCCAAACTAGCCAAACAATAGGCTTACTGTGGCAGTGAGGACGAGGTCGGAGGCCAGGAATGCTGAATGAATAACTCCCCTCGGAGTCCTTGAATCCTGTCCACTATGAACAAGATACAAGCCAGGAATCTGATGCAATACTCTCCAGTTACCTGAATGAGTGCAACTCCAACAATACTCAGGAAGCTTGATAGCTCCGATCAAAGCAGCCTGGTTTGTTGACACCGTATCCACAAGTTCCCTGCACCACTGATGCACAGTAGCAGCAGTGTTTTCAATCTGCAAGATGCACAGAAATTCACCAAGGCCTCTTATACAGCACTTTCCAAACGCATGACCACTACCATCTGTGAGAACAAGGGCAGCAGATATATGAAAAATTACCATCTGCAAGTTCATCTTCAAGTATCTTACCTCCCTGATTTGGAAATATGTTATCATTTCTTCAGTATTGCTGGTTCAAAATCTTGGGACTCACTTCCTAACCACGTTGTGGGTCGACCAATGCCAATGGATTGCAGTGGTTGAAAAAGGCAGCTCGCCACCACCTTCTCAAGGGCAACGAGGGATGGGCAGTAAATGTTAGCCTAGGTAGTGACGCTCACAACCATGAATGAACTTTCAAAAAACAGTCTACCTATTTCCACACCCTTGGCATTGCCCAATTCTGTCCATGCCTTTCCTTGTATGATTCTGAAGTCCTGATTCCTATCTTAGAACATAGAACATAGAACATTACAGCGCAGTACAGGCCCTTCAGCCCTTGATGTTGCGCCGACCTGTGAAACCAATCTGAAGCCCATGTAACCCACACTATGCCATTATCATCCATATGTTTATCCAATGACCATTTAAATGCCCTTAAAGTTGGCGAGTCTACTATTTTTGCAGGCAGGGCATTCCATGCCCTACTACTCTGAGTAAAGAACCTACGTCTGACATCTGTCCTATATCTATCACTCCTCAATTTAAAGCTATGTCCCCTCATGCTAGCCATCACCATCCGAGGAAAAAGGCCCCCACTGTCCACCCTATCTAATCCTTTGATCATCTTGTATGTCTCTATCAAGTCACCTCTTAACCTTCTTCTCTCTAATGAAAACAGCCTCAAGACCCTCAGCCTTTCCTCCTAAGACCTTCCCTCCATACCAGGCAACATCCTGGTAAATCTCCTCTGCACCCTTTCCAATGCTTCCACATCCTTCCTATAATGCGGTGACCAGAACTGTACGCAATACTCCAAGTGCGGCCGCACCAGAGTTTTGTACAGCTGCAACGTGACCTCATGGCTCCGAAACTCAATCCCTCTACCAATAAAACATAACATGCTGTACGCCTTCTTAACAACGCTATCAACCTGGGTGGCAACTTTCAGTGATCTATGCACATGGACACCGAGATCTTTCTGCTCATCCACACTACCAAGAATCTTACCATGAGCCCAGTACTCTGTATTCCTGTTACTCCTTCCAAAGTGAATCACCTCACACTTTTCGGCATTAAACTCCATTTGCCACCTCTCAGCCCAGCTCTGCAGCTTATCTATGTCCCTCTGTAACCTGCAACGTCCTTCCGCACTAACCACAACTCCACCAACTTTGGTGTCATCCGCAAATTTACTAACCCATCGTTCTACGCCCTCATCCAGGTCATTTATAAAAATGACAAACAGCAGTGGCCCCAAAACAGATCCTTGAGGTACACCACTAGTAACTGAACTCCAGGATGAACAGTTCCCATCAACCACCACCCTCTGTCTTCTTACAGCTAGCCAATTTCTGATCCAAACCGCTAAATCACCCTCAATCCCATGCCCTCCGTATTTTCTGCAATAGCCTACCATGGGGAACCTTATCAAACGCTTTACTGAAATCCAAATACACCACATCAACCGCTTTACCCTCATCCACCTGTTTGGTCACCTTCTCGAAGAACTCAATAAGGTTTGTGAGGCACGACCTACCCTTCACAAAACCGTGTTGACTATCCCTAATCAAATTATTCCTTTCTAGATGATTATAAATCCTATCTCTTATAATCCTTTCCAACACTTTACCCACAACCGAAGTAAGGCTCACCGGTCTATAATTACCAGGGTTGTCTCTACTCCCCTTCTTGAACAAGGGGACAACATTTGCTAGTCTCCAGTCTTCTGGCACTATTCCTGAAGACAATGACGACATAAAGATCAAAGCCAAAGGTTCTGCAATCTCCTCTCTCGCTTCCCAGAGAATCCTAGGATAAATCCCATCCGGCCCAGGGGACTTATCTATTTTCACACCTTCCAGAATTGCTAACACCTCCTCCTTATGAACCTCAATCCCGTCTAGTCTAATAGACTGTATCTCAGTATTCTCCTCGACTACATTGTCTTTTTCCTGCGTGAATACTGACGAAAAATATTCATTTAGCACCTCCTATCTCTTCGGACTCCACGCACAACTTCCCACTACTGTCCTTGACCGGCCCCAATCTTACTCTTTGCCTGCTCTACTGTCTATAAGCATGAAGGCTTTCAAGACTGTATTGTCCTTGTCTTAACTCACGTCAAAATTATTCACCTGTTAATACTGTGACTATTTGCCTTCATTAAACTTTTTGTTAAATGATGCTTCTGTTTTTAAAATTCCCATTTTTTTTCCATGCACACAATAACCTTACTTCTCCTCCTCTGTTCTGAGGAAGGGTCACCTGACCCGAAATGTTAACTCTGTTTTCTCCTTCACAGATGCTGCCAGACCTGCTGAGGTTTTCCAGCAACTTTGTTTTTGTTCTCCTCATCTCCTTCAGCTTCATCCCGCCCCCGCCCCCAATGTCCTCTCCGCTCCCACACTCGTGGCCTCTTGACTGTTCCACTGTGGTGGCACTGCCTTCAGCTGGTTGAGTCACAGACTTCAGCGCTCCCCCTTTTAAACCTCTTCATTCTCTACCTCCTTTTCCATTAAGATGTTTCTTTAAAAGTTATTTGTTTAACTGAGCTTTTGATCATCTATCATAATATCTCCTTACATAGCTTGGTGTCAAATGTTCTTGGGTAACGCCCTTGAAATGTTTACTCTGTTAATAACATTACAAGTTGCTGCTGTTGGCAAACAATTCTAAGAATTTTGCATGCCTTTCTCTGCCATTTTATGCACCTTCCTCTACGTTGGTGGCTGTGCCAGCTGGTGCTAATCAATGCCACATATTCTGGAGTTCTACTTTCAAATGTCTACTCTCATGTATTCTCTTCCCTCTTCCTTTTTAAAACATTAAAAGACCAACTCTTTGACATGGCTTTTGCCCTTTGCCTCAGCAGCATCCCCCACATACCTCCTGAATGTTTTCTCCATTTATTTATTTTTGTCCGATTACGATTCCATGAAGTAGTGCCTTGGCTTATTTCTTTTCCACACTGAGTTGGTATGTAAATGCAGGATTTTATAACAAAATTAATGGTTGGTCAGAATAAACTGATTCTGTGACTGCTGACAATAGAAAATCTTTCTGGAATGAGACAAAAATCTTTTAATTTTGCTGTTTTATTTTGGGCTGGTGCTTAGAATTCATTTTACAGTAATAAAAGTATTCTTTTATTTGAGTGATTATATTAGTGTAGGTCATTCAGTATTAACCAATATGAACTGAAAACTTACAAAATTGTCTAACTCAGGAAGATGTAATTTCCTTGATCTTGCCAGGTGCCTATGGGTTAACAACTAGCATGTATAATGCAGTAATTGCTACCATTTGTGGTACATGGAAAACTTTTGAATCAGTCCATTATGTTTTCAACTGTTTCACTTTAACAGGTTGCACCAGAGGAATTCAAGGCCAGCATTAGCCGGGTTAACAGCTGTTTAAAGAAGAATCTTCCTGTCAATGTGCGATGGCTGCTCTGTGGCTGCTTGTGCTGTTGCTGTACTTTGGGCTGCAGCATGTGGCCAGTAATTTGTCTCAGTAAAAGAGTAAGTTTTGAAAAGTCTTTAATATAATCTTCAACATACCTGGTCAATATTGAATTTTATGCTGCACTCTAAGGGAAGAACGTTACCTACTAATTAGGACTGATCTCATGAGTCACCTTCAAGTAATTCCAGTTCTATTATAGCATGATAAAATGTGGAGAAAAGCTCTTGGGTTTTATACAATTTTTCTGTTTTAGACTTTTGAAGCAAAGGATATATGGTTATCTCAAAATCAGTCAGCAGGAAGTCTCTATCCAGGTACCCTTTAAACTAATGATACCATTCTTTTGTGTATCACCATACAAAGCAGTTTAAAAACCACATTTTGGGTGCAGTGTTTGGTTCTGAAATATATGCTGTAGTTTAAACAATGTGGTTTTAAATTTTCATTCTGATCCTTGTGGTGCATTAAAACGTCAGTGTATGTTAATGACTCTTTTCTGATTTTCTTTTACTTTGGAGCAACAATGATCATGCAAAATAATGTTGTCGTCCTACTGCATATCAGTAGTTGAATATCTTAAGATTTACGGTCTGCAATTGTATAGTTAATCCTAATTATAAATTATCTTGATTGTGAAAATGATCTGATCATTTAACATACTGGTGTACCTGATGTTCATAAGATTAGCTAATATTCAAATTGTAAGTGTAAAACTAATTTTTAAAGAAAGGTCATTTTTAAATTTCTGAAAAGTTTTTACTTGGCATGTTTGACTAAGCTAATGTGAAAACTTGGGAAAAATCTTTTTGGAGTCTTTTGACCCAGGTGATAAACCTAGAAATTTGTATTTCTCCATACACTTTGGGATAGGGACCAAAAAGGCGTAATGTTTTTAGTTTAGAAAGGCACCATGTGTCAACGTCGACTTGGTGGGCTGAAGGGCCTGTTCCCGTGCGGAGTTTTGGTTTCATAGCATGCGTGTACTTTAATTTACAAGGATCCACACTGGAAAGTCAGCCTGATCAGGTTTGGCTTGCAATTGGCACGGAATGCTGTAGAACACGTTGTAACAACAGATGTTGCTGGTGGAATGGAAGTATCTGATCGTTGATATCTGAGGGAAAAGTTCTGATTCTTAACTTCTGGAAGAGTAGAGAGAAGGAGGGGATAGTGCTTTTATCCAAGTAAGAAATCAACTTGGGGATAGAGGGGAAAAACCTCGTCTTTCATGCAATGTTACAAATGCACATCCCTTATTTTTGAAGCTGTCCCCACTGCCCTGCAGTTGCTGGATTTCTGGAAACACAACTGACCAAGGTTGAATCTGCAAACCAGGCTAAAATGTTGAAATAATGAACTCCGTTCCTGAGGGCACGTTAGCTATTGCTTCCCTGTCTCAGCTAAACCCAAAGTTAAATGGAATGGAGTTGAGTTTGAATTTTTTATTTAAAACTCCCCTCTGATTATTAGTTAAACAAGCTTGTTTTGTTCCCAGAACTGATCTTTGACTTTGATCGTATGTTTGTGAGGCTGCCTTAAGGAATTTCTTTGGCAAAGTGCCTAGCAAAGTTTCAGTATTTAAAATAGTTTATGTTAGAGTCTAAGCTTCACAGATGTTCCAGTAACTTAACAAGATGAGAGCAGTTTAAAAAAAAAAGCTTATGTTAAAGGTCATACATGAGAATAAAAAAATTGATTCTTTTTCACAAATTCCTTAGATTGCTAGTTCTATAAAAAGTGTTAAGTCTATGCATTTGTAACTGGCTGTACTATCTCAAATCAAACCAATTGAACAGTTTTATCAGCTGCAATAACACCTTTGACGTGGTACTGCATATAATGCACTCTTGACACAACTGTTTGTTGATTTATTTAGGAAGCTATTTTCAGGCAATATGAATGAATAACACTGCTAAATAAACAACATTTTATTTAAAATTATAATGCTTCATTTGTGAGGAATATCCTTCTGATCTGTTAATATAGTCTGTGACTAATCACCAATTCATAAGACTAAACATTTAGTTTGGTGGCAGGGGGAGCAGAATAGTTGGCGTGTATGGGAATTTGAAAGCTCTCCAACAGTTGTAACTACAACAAAGAAAGATAGGGGAGGTTGTTGAATTCTTTTCTTTTCAACCCAAGACAGTGCTGCAGTGTTCCTAAGATGCCATCGGCCCAGTGATCTTTAGCTGCTTCACAAATGATTTTTCCTCCATTATAAAGCCAGAAGTGTGATAGTAATTACTTGCTGTGCAATTTTGTTTGCAATTCCTCGAATAATGAAACCATTGGTGGCTGCATGTAGATGATTTACAGAATGTCTTAAGCTGATAAGTGGCAAGTAAATTTTGTGCCATACAAGTGCCAAGTAATGACCAACTTCAGCAAAGGAGCATCAAACCACATCCACTTGACATTCAAAGCATTGCCACTGTTAATCACCCACCAGTAACATCCTGTAGACTGCCATCGATCAGCAACTTAACTGGACTGATTCCATAAAAATGCAGCTGAAGAACAAGTGTAAGAGAACCACATATTCTTCCTGTTTTGACTGTAAACAAAATGGAAGTTGGCCTGCTATTAGGCTGAAATACCAAGAGAATTTTGCAACATAGAAAAGGCAAGTGGTGCACACTTTTAGCTGTTGAAGCAATGAGGTCATACTTTAACTTTAATCTATCGGTGGATTACAGTTTGCTACAAATCTGTAAACGCAGAGCAGCCACAGGTATCCTGAGCTTGTGAATAGAAGACCTCTTTCTCTTCAATCGCAAGGGGAGAGGAAGGTAAAGGTAGAAAAAAACAAGAAAGCTTAAGAGAGAGAATTCTAACAAGTAAATACCTAGGTGTACTGGATTAATTATTGAAGTGAAGGACGACTGTCACTTTACAGATAGCAATGTGTAGTCATTCCTGAAGTGAAAAGGAACTGTGAGACATCTTAAACCACTTTTGTGACCTGGACTTTCGATGTTCAGAATATTGTTCAATGTCTATATTTGTTTCCACCCTTAATTGTCAGACCATTTGTCTTTGTTATTGTTTTAATCAAGAATGAATGTAAATATATTTGGGGTTTTCAGTCAGGCAAATTAGTCATCTTGGTGGCCTAATCAGGATTTTACACATTTTATGAAGATTTCTGGAAGAATGAAGCATGAATATCAGAACATGTTGGCAAGCTCTTGATGCAGGTGAGAGCCTGGATATTCTATGATGAATCATTCATCTCATTCTCCAAAGTCTTTCCACCCAGGACAAGGCAGAAGTCCGGATTGTGATGGAATGTTCTCCCACATGTTGGATAAGTGTACCTCCAACAACACTCAAGAAGCCTGCCTAGTCAACATCCAATCTGCAATCCTAAACTTCCATTCCCTCTATTATTGATGCACTGTGTACTATCTGCTGGATGTGGTACAGCAATTTGCCAAGTCGTCTTTGTCAGTACCTTCCAAACCTGTGACTACTGCCTAGGAGGGAAAGTGCTGCAGGTGCAAGAGAATTTCATTGCCATGTTCTCCCAATTATTTCTGAAAAACAATTTAATAAGGCACCACGTTGAAGTTTAATATGTAAGATGAGAGCTCGTTGTGTCGGTGGTGACATACGGGCATGGATAGATGTTTGATTAGCAAATGGAAGACGGTTGGTATAAATAGATCATTTTCAGGTTGGCAAACTGTAACTAGCGGAATGCCATAGGAATCTGTGCTGGTGCCTCGTTTATTTGCAATCTATATTATTAACTTAGATGAAGGGAGCAACTATTGTGACCTTAATTTGTTGATGATATTAAGATAGATAGTAAAGAAAGTTGTGAAGAGGATACAAAGAATCTGCCAATGGATATAGGTTAAATGAGTGGACAAAAAGTTGGCAGATGGAGTATAATGTGGGAAAATCTGAGTTTATCTGCTTTGGCAGAAGAACATCATAGCAGTACATTATTTAAGTGGGGAGAAATGGCACCGTGCTGGAGTACAAAGAGATTTGGATGTCCTTGTAGATAATTTCTGATCAGCCTGTTTGGAAATGTTATTACACACTTCTGGAGCAAGTGGGACTTGAACCCAGGCCTGCTGGTTCAGAGGTAGGGATTCTAGCACATAAGAACCCTGGACATCCTTGTATCTGAAGTAGCAAGTTAGTATACAGGTGCAACAAATAATTAGAAAAAGAAAATGGAAAGTTGTCTTTTATTGCCATGGACAATAAAATATAAAGTAAGGAAGTCTTGTTAAAATTTTACAGGGCATTGGTGAAACCACAACTGGAATAGTTCTGATTTAAGGAGTGTATGTATTTATTTGCTTGTCTATCTGGCCAAATGTCCTCAATGTTCCTTCGTCTTTTGACCCTGAATTGTCACTTTAATCTAATTTCTCCCTGTGGGGCTTCCTGGCCCTCTCTGAGCTCTTCCTGACCATGAAACCCACCTCCATTAATCCTGTTCCCACTAAACTGTTGACCACTGAACCTCTCTGCCTGGGCCCTCGATAACCAATATTATTAATGGTTCCTGCTTTTGTTAGCTGTTATCCGTCTCTCCTGTCATTCTGGCTTCACCATTCTTCAAAAAAGAAAAGCCCTAAACTGCATTTTTCTTGGCATTTAATGCCCCATTTCCAACCTCTTTTTTTTTTGTTGTTTTTACTCAAGTCCTTCGGATGTTTTATAATTTCCAAATCTGTGCCTCTATTTCCTGGAACTCATTGTTTAAATCCATCCAATCAGATTTTTGTCACTGCCCCGGTATTAAAACAGCCCTTGTCAAAGACACAAAGGGCAAACTGTCCCCCCTTCTCAACCTGTCTGCAGCTTTTTATGTGGTTGACCACACCATTTTGTTTTAGTCCCCTTCAACTGTTAATCTAGCTGGATGAGAGGTCTGCAGGTACAACAAGTAATTAGGAAGGCAAATGGAATTTTGTCCTTCATTGCTAAAGGGATTGAGATTAAAAGCAGAGAGGTTATGTTGCAGCTGTACAAGGTGCTGGTGAGGCCACACCTGGAGTACTGTGTGCAGTTTTGGTCTCTTTACCTGAGA